TTATGGAAATGTCAAGGGAGAAGACTGAAAAATCCAACGCCATTGGGAAAAAGAGCTTTGGCAATGGAATTGGTCAGGCTGCTGAGGACAAAACAGAGAGGAGCTGGAGGAAGCCGAGTTTCAATAACTTTAGACCCGTGGGGCGGGGTGCTGAACCTGATAAAAATCCTAGTGGTTTTGTGGATGCTAATTGGGCTGGTGACATGAACGATAGATGCTCCACAAGAGGTTTTTGTTTTATAGCAGGCTCTGTTGCAATTTCATGGTGCAGTAAAGAGCAAAGCATCGTTTCTTTGTCATGTTGTGAAGCAGAATATGTAGGTGCTAGAATGGCTACTCAAGGATTTTTGTGGCTGATCAGGAGGCTTATTCAAGAAAGGGTGACTACTCATTATCATTTGTTTGAGAGAATGCTAACGCAGGATGTTGAATTGTAGAAAATACAGACTAATGAGCAAGTTGCGGACATATTTACTAAGACACTTGCAAAAGTGAAGTTTGAAGTTTTTCGTAAAGGCTCTAAGAGCTATTGAGAAAATAAGCTTGCAATAAGGGAGGCTGTCAAAATTTAATGCAAACTTATTGTTAGTTTGAATTAGTCAAAATATTCATAATCCGTTAATATTTTGAGAATATATTAGTTATAGAATATATTTTAGATTCAATGAATATTTTTATCTTTAGATTTGATTAGTAGTATATTTTATTTGATTGTCACGATTTAAATAGTTTATATTTTCCTCATGTGTAGGTATTAGTTGATATCTTGTATCTATTTAAACGTTCTGAATATCAATGAAGATTGAACCTTCGATCCCAATTCTATTTCTTATTCTTAAATCTGTATTCTTTGGTTGAGTAATAATATTTTCATATCTATTCACACTCTTGAGTGGTAGATATTGCGTTAGCTATTACCCTTTCAGGTCTTCTATGGAAATGTTTCTTGGAGGTGCAGAAACTGATTGGGATAGGTCTCACGCGACGAATTCGCGTGTAAAATCGAATTTAATTTTTTTAACCTCCTCTGGATTACTTCAATGGCGGCCTAAATTTGGGAAATAGATTTGAGGCATTTTGCCCCTTCTTTCCTTCACCAAAATTGTGGTTAATCTTATTTAGAAAGAATAGAAACAAATTTGGAGGGAAATGATGGACTATAGCTCTCGAATTTGGAAGGAACATGAGAACTCAAAACCTAAAAAATGAAAAAGCTTATAACTCGTGATTGAAGGCTCGATGTTGCTTGCTTCTTGCTCCAAATGAACGCACATGGCTCATGACTTAAGAGAAATGATCAACCGCCTTTGAAACATTTAGAACCACCATGATTTTGTAGTTGACCCTTTTGGATTTTTTGCTAGAAAATCATGGGCCGATCAGAGCTTTGTCAAATTTAGTTATGAATTTTAGCCGTTGGATTTGATGATCTGTGAATGTTCTAGTTCATATCCAAGTTAGAGGGAGATCCAACGGCTAGATTTCAAGAGGATGTGGATTATGTGCATAAGGGACTATGGAGGATCTACTTTGGTCGGCAATGACAATTTGGTGATTCTTTTAAACTTTATAAATAAGGAAATTTATCACTTTCGGAAAATTTTAATATTATTTTTTTCGAATTAATCCAATTTTTTTTTATAAAATTCGTTACCTTGAAGTTCATATCCATAAAGAAATAAAATTTGGAGAAATTTTGGATCGACTCTTCTTTACACGTTAAATCCTTTCTCAAGGGAAGTGTATCATGTGCTATAATGTGAGTGGGGTGACGTATACTTTCGTAACATAGACACATAAAATATATTGTGTATGGGGGAGTGCGAGTCTACAAGCCACTAGTCCTATTCTTTTTAGTATCTCAAAAGGATCGAATAACTTGGGGATTAGCTTCCCTTTCTTTTCAAAATCTGAACATCCCTCTCATGGGTGCTATCTTTAGGAACACATGGTCTCCTACATCGAAATTTAGGTTTTTACGCCTTCCATCTGCATAAATATTTTACGAACTAAAATTTTATTTTTATTAGAAACAAAAAGATTTTAAAAAAATTCAAACTTAAATCGAACGATCCCAAAACTATATGGTTGGGTTGGGTGGATTTCAGTTTTTGTGATGTCCCACATTGGTGGGGGAGGAGAACGAAACACCCTTAAGCGTGTGGAAATCTTCCCATAGTAGACGCATTTTAAAACCTTGAGAGGAAGCTCGTAAGGGAAATCCTAAAGAGGACAATATCTACTAATGGTGAGCTTGCGTCGTTATTGGTAATAGAGTCAGACACCGGGCGATGAACCAGCGAGAAGGTAGTTCCCCGAAGGGGGATAAACACGAGGTGGTGTGCCAGCGAGAACGCTGGGCCCGAAGGGGGGTGGATTGTGATATTCCACATTGGTTGGGGAGGAGAACAAAACACCCTTTACAACGGTGTGAAAACCTTTCACTAACAGGCACGTTTTAAAGTCTTGAGAGGAAACCCATAAAGATAATATCTGCTACTAAATCGTTACCGTTTTTAACCTGAGTTGTTCGAGCTAAAAAGAATTAACATCCCAAACAATTGAACTAAGAACAAAACCCTCTAACCCTTTCCATTTAAGAAGATCCTGTTACACCAAACCCACTTGAAAGAATCATTAAATGAGGTAGTTTTTTGTTCATTGATTACAAAGTCAAAGGAGATGGATAAAAATAAATCTCCTATTTTATTTATTTATTATAATAAATGCATTGCTTTGGAAGAATGGGCTATCATTGTTTTCTAAGATATTTCATAAAATTAGATGCATCAATGAGATTCATTATCTTCGCATTACATTAATTTTAAATGTAGTTGGTTCATTCATTTAAGGAAAGTATTAAATCATGTCATTGATTTTACATTTGGTTGATGTTTTAAATAATAATAGTTATTTTTTTTATTGAGCTATACTCCTATTAACTGTTTCTGTACATGATTAATGTTTGATGCCCTTTATGACTTTTATTATTGATGAATATGATGTTTCATGACATTTCCTTAATATGATGATGATTTTTTATACTATTGATTAAGCTTTCTTAATCATTCTTAAATGTGATGGAGGCTTATTGGGTCCTTAGGGGCATCTAGGTGATTTAGTCCTCATCTCGCATTTGTTTATGATGCTTGGGGTTAGCTAACCCAATCAATAGGTGCACTCAAGTCTAGACGTATGATTGCTACTCATAATCCTTGAGTGCTCGATAGAAATGTACTGACCTAGGTCAACATATAAACCGCTCTAGCTCTAATGCCCTAATTAGCTTAGATCACTCATGCATACTTTGTTAGGAAGATATTTCTATCAATCACATAAAGCACGAAAAACATAATCTACTCATTCATGCATGCCTATTAGGGATATGTTCCTATCAACCAGTAAGGAAATCATAATCTAAACATTCAAGCAAACTCAGTGGGGAAATAACACTCATTACTCACCCAGGAAACATATCATAATATCTTATCCTCCATTCCAGCACAATGGAAAGCATAAAAATCGATATGCATCATAAATTCTCATCCTAGGGATATTTCCTTAATTTTTCTTAACATATAAAATATTTTCATCCAAATAGTCATTCTAGAGTCCTAAACATGCATATTCTAACACCTAAGGAAAGATATACTCCCATGTTATTATGTTCTTACACAAGCATTACTTGAGAAAAGCGAGAATGACTATTTATATGGATGACGTATGCCTTGTCGAGCAAGCTTTTTCTTGTGTTATGAGCTTCAAATTTTCTAAAATTTCTCTAGTATAACCTAATTCAAATCATAAAATGGTCCACATCGAAATCAGGGAAGAGCAATCGAATATAGGTTAAAACGGGTAAAAATTGGAACGATACAGAGAAGATTAGCATGGCCCCTGCAGAAGAATGACACACACCAATTGAGAAATGGTTCAATTTTTTTCATAAATCAGAGTGGCGCAGCGGAAGCGTGGTGGGCCCATAACCCACAGGTCCCAGGATCGAAACCTGGCTCTAATATCGATCCTTAATGTCCTTAACTTCAAGGAACACGGGAGCTTACATTTAGTTACTTAGGCAGCTCTACCACTGTTTCAGTACGTGATTAATGTTTGATGCCCTTGATGATGACTTTTATTATTGATGAATATGATGTTTCATGACATTTCCTTAATATGATGACGATTTTTTATACTATTGATTAAGCTTTCTTAATCATTCTCAAATGTCATGGAGGCTTATTGGGTCCTTAGGGGCATCTAGGTGATTTAGTCCTCATCTCGCATTTGTTTATGATGCTTGGGGTTAGCTCCTTGGGGGCTAACTCAATCTGTAGGTGCACTCAAGTCTAGACGTATGATTGCTACTCATAATCCTTGAGTGCTCGATAGAAATGTACTGACCTAGGTCAACATATAAACCGCTCTAGCTCTAATGCCCTAATTAGCTTAGATCACTCATGCATACTTTGTTAGGAAGATATTTCTATCAATCACATAAAGCACGAAAAACATAATCTACTCATTCATGCATGCCTATTAGGGATATGTTCCTATCAACCAGTAAGGAAATCATAATCTAAACATTCAAGCAAACTCAGTGGGGAAATAACACTCATTACTCACCCAGGAAACATATCATAATATCTTATCCTCCATTCCAGCACAATGGAAAGCATAAAAATCGGTATGCATCATAAATTCTCATCCTATGGATATTTCCTTAGTTTTTCTTAACATATAAAATATTTTCATCCAAATAGTCCTTCTAAAGTCCTAAACATGCATATTCTATCATCTAAGGAAAGATATACTCCCATGCTATTATGTTCTTACACAAGCATTACTTTAGAAAAGTGAGAATGACTATTTATATGGATGACGCATGCCTTGTCGAGCAAGCTTTTTCTTGTGTTAGGAGCTTCAAATTTTCTAAAATTTCTCTAGTATAACCTAATTCAAATCATAAAATGGTCCACATCGAAATCAGGGAAGAGCAATCGAATATAGGTTAAAACGGGTAAAAATTGGAACGATACACAGAAGATTAGCATGGCCCCTGCATGAATGAGTAGATTATGTTTTTCGTGCTTTATGTGATTGATAGAAATATCTTCCTAATAAAGTATGCATGAGTGATCTAAGCTAATTAGGGCATTAGAGCTAGAGCGGTTTATATGTTGACCTAGGTCAGTACATTTCTATCGAGCACTCAAGGATTATGATTGCTACTCAATCATAATCTCTAGGTGCACTCAATCTGTAGGTGCACTCAAGTCTAGACGTATGATTGCTACTCATAATCCTTGAGTGTTGTGGCTACTATTGAATTAATTTAAGATGACAACTGTGGCTACTATTGAATTCAAACTTTTGGTTTGCATCTGAACCTAAAATGTAGAGTTGATCCCCTCAATTCCTTCATCACATATGCTTTATTTAGTTCCCTAAGTCTAACGAAACCTCAATTTTAAATAAAATGCGCTAGAAATAAGAGTTTGAGTTTTGCCCCCAAAACTTGCATGATATTATATTTCTCTAATTGGGAACACTCTTGGAGTTATTGTCAAAATTTAGTGAAAGTTAGTTTGAATTAGTTAAGATATTCATATTTATAATCATAATCAGTTAATATTTGGAGAATACATTAACTATATAATATATCTGAGATTTAGTTAATACAAGATATTCATATTTAGTTAATATTTGGAGAATATATTAGTTATAGAATATATCTTAAATTTAGTTAATATTTTTCTTTTTAGATTTGATTAGTAGTATATTTTATTTTATTGTCAAGATTGAGATAGTTTATATTTTCCTTATAGGTATTAGTTGGTATCTTGTATTGATTTGAACATTGTGAATATTAATAAAGATTGAACCTTCAATTCGAATTCTATTTCTTATTCCTAAATCTTATTCTTTCATTGACTAATAATATTTTCATATCTATTCACCATTTTGAGTGGTAGATATTGCGTTAGTTGGTATCAGAGCCAAGTTGGTATGGTTTGATATTATTACTAAACGAGATGAATGGGGGAAGTGCTTCTATGGGTATAGCTATGAAAAAGCTTGTTTGCAATAACTATAGTTATTGGAAGTTATGTATGGAAGCTTATCTATAAGGGAAGATTTGTGGGATTTAATGGAAGGTGATGACACAAAAATTCCAGCAAATACTCCACGAAATGTAGAATTACGTTGACAATGGAATATCAAATGCGAAAAACAGATACTCCACAGAATGCAAAATTACGTCGACAATGGAAGATCAAATTCGGAAAAGCCTTATTTACCTTGCAAACTTTGATTAGCAAGGAGTATATTGATCACGTTTGTGATTAAAAGTCACCAAAGCAAGTATGGGAAACACTTCAAAAGTTGTTCACTAAAAAAAATACCGCTTGACTGCAATTTGTAGAGAATGAACTAGCTATGGTAACTCAAGGTAATTTTTCTGTTGATGTATATTTTTTTAAAGTGAAAAATCTGTGTTCTGAAATTTCAAAATTAGATGCTAAGGAGCCAATGGGTGGTGCTCGATTACGGCGTCATCTTATTCGTGGATTACGAAAAGATTTTATGCCCTTTATTCCCTCAATACAAGGGTGGGCAAATCAGCCTACAGTAATTGAGCTGGTGAATCTTCTTTCCAATCAGGAAGCTTTGATTAAGCAAATGACTAACAACAACGAGTTTTTCCCAAAGTCATAAGATGTGTTGTATGTCAAATATCAAAGGAAACGAATTTCCATTCAAAGCCTTCTTCAAGCAATGAGAATCAATTCAGGAGTGAGGAGTTGTCAAAGAAGCCATTTAAAACATGTTACAAGTGTGGAAAACCTGGCCATTTTAAACGAGATTGTCAGGTGGAAGTAGTGTGTGATGGTTGCGGAAAGCCAGGCCATATTAAGCCAAATTGCCAAGTCAATACAGGAATTAGAAGCAAATGTTGTACATGAAAGTAAAAATTCTTCCTATCAAATTTGGGAATATTGCTTAACCATTGAGGTTCTTGACCAGCCAACAAACGTGACTTCAGCTGTACATCAAGATGATGTCTCTACAGATGCTCATGCCTTTATAGACTACAATGAAGAATGGATTCTCGATTCTGGTTGTTCTCATCATGCAACTGGAAACAAAACTCTTGTATCAGATGTTTGTCCACATTGTCAAAAGAAGAGTAAAGGGCCCAACAAAGTGGCAGAATTGGAATCACGACTTTCTCAACTCTAGAAGAAACTGAAGAAAACAAGTGATCAATTAAGTGCATCTGAATCACACAAAAAGCAAGCCCAAAAGAAAGCAGAAGAAGCAAAGAAACAACTATTAGATATATCTGAAAAGCTTGAAGAATCCCAACAGCAGGTGTTTTAGCTCTTCGCTTCTGAGGAAGATCGTGTTCTAGAACTGCACAAACTTTCTCAAGATCGCAATCGAGCATGGAAGTCCAAACTCAAAGCTGTTCAAAAGCAGCACGCAATGGATGCTGCTGCATTGGCCTCTGCCATAAATGAAGTTCAAAGGCTCAAGGTCCAGCTGAACATGGTGTCTAAATCCAACCAAACCCGAAGTAACCTCGCTAAGTCTATGGAAAAGCTTCAATCAGATGGAATCAAAGCTGTTGAAGCCTACAACTCTTTGTCACCAGAATTGGAGGAATCAAAAGATCGGAAATCAGGGAGGGACGACTTTGATTTTTATGGAGGGAAGGGAAGATGCCAGAAAGGTTTAAATTCCGGTCGTGTTGGTGGTGGATTTAGGAATTATGGCTCGAATGGTTCGTATGAGAGGAGTAACAGGTATTCGAATGGGGATGATTCATCTAACTCAAAGTGGGGTTTGTCAAGGGTCTTTGATGAAAATAGGAGGAAGAAAGATGAAGGTAATTCTGGCAGCGGCGGTGGTGGCAGTCGACCAAAGCTTAATCTGCAGCAACGTACGCTGCCGGTGAATGATGTGAAGTCGTCGAAGAAATCAGGGACGACGGCGAGGTCCAAGAGTTCGAACCCATTTGGAATGGTGAGGACCAAAGCTTAATCTGCAGCCACGTACGCTGCCGGTGAATGATGTGAAGTCGTCGAAGATATCAGGGATGACGGCGAGGTCCAAGAGTTCGAACCCATTTGGAATGGTGAGGCCGAGGGAAGAGGTTCTAGCTGAGAATGGACATGATTGGAAAAAACTTGACAAGGAGTTAGAGTCAAAAATTATGAAAATGTTAGGGGAGATGACTGAAAAATCCAACGCCATTGGGAAAAAGAGCTTTGGCAATGGAATTGGCCAGGCTGCTGAGGACAAAACAGAGAGGAGCTGGAGGAAGCCGAGTTTCAATAACTCTTGACCCGTGGGGCGGGGCGCTGAACTTGATAAAAATCCTAGTGGTTTTGTGGATGCTAATTGGGCTGGTGACGCGAACGATAGATGCTCCATAAGAGGTTTTTGTTTTATAGCAGGCTCTGTGGTTGATCAGGAGGCTTATGCAAGAAATGGTGACTACTCATTATCATTTTGTTTGAGAGAATGCTAACGCAGGATGTTGAATTGCAGAAAATACAGACTAATGAGCATGTTGCGGGCATATTTACTAAGGCACTTGCGAAAGTGAAGTTTGAAGTTTTTCGTAAAGGCTCTCAGAGTTATTGAGAAAATAAGCTTGCAATAAGGGAGGCTGTCAAAATTTGATGCAAACTTATTGTTAGTTTGAATTAGTCAAAATATTGATAATCGGTTAATATTTGGAGAATATATTAGTTATAAAATATATCTTAGATTGAATGAATATTTTTATCTTTACATTTGATTAGTAGTATATTTTATTTTATTGTCAAGATTTAAATAGTTTATATTTTTCTTGTTTGTAGGTATTAGTTGGTATCATGTATTTGTGAATATTAATAATGAAGATTGAACCTTCGATCCCAATTCTATTTCTTATTCTTAAATCTGTATTCTTTGGTTGAGTAATAATATTTTCATATCTATTCACACTCTTGAGTGGTAGATATTGCGTTAGCTATTACCCTTTCAGGTCTTCTATGGAAATGTTTCTTGGAGGTGCAGAAACTGATTGGGATAGGTCTCACGCGACGAATTCGCGTGTAAAATCGAATTTAATTTTTTTAACCTCCTCTGGATTACTTCAATGGCGGCCTAAATTTGGGAAATAGATTTGAGGCATTTTGCCCCTTCTTTCCTTCACCAAAATTGTGGTTAATCTTATTTAGAAAGAATAGAAACAAATTTGGAGGGAAATGATGGACTATAGCTCTCGAATTTGGAAGGAACATGAGAACTCAAAACCTAAAAAATGAAAAAGCTTATAACTCGTGATTGAAGGCTCGATGTTGCTTGCTTCTTGCTCCAAATGAACGCACATGGCTCATGACTTAAGAGAAATGATCCTCCGCCTTTGAAACGTTTAGAACCACCATGATTTTGTAGTTGATCCTTTTGGATTTTTCGCTAGAAAATCCTGTGCCGATAAGAGCTTTGTCAAATTTAGTTATGAATTTTAGCCGTTGGATTTGATGATATGTGAATGTTCTAGATCATATCCAATTTAGACGGAGATCCAACGGCTAGATTTCAAGAGACTGTGGATCAGGTGCATAAGGGTACCATGGAGGATCTAATTTGGTCCGCAATGACAATTTGGTGATTCTTTTAAACTTTATAAATAAGGTCACTTGCCGAAAATTTTAATATTATTTTTTTCGAATTAATCCAAATTTTTTTTTTATAAAATTGGTTACCTCTTGTGAGTCATTTTCTTCTTGTTGAGTATCTTGAAGTTCATATCCATAAAGAAATAAAATTTGGAGAAATTTTGGATCGACTCTTCTTTACACGTTAAATCCTTTCTCGAGGGAAGTGTATCATGTGCTATCATGTGAGTGGGGTGACGTATACTTTCGTAACATAGACACATTGTGAATGTTTGATTAATCCACCTCACCCAAATGGTGGTGAGAGTTCTCTTATTTATAATCATTTACAAAATAAAGAAATAAGGTAAATTACAAATAATAAGGAAATAGCAATAAAAGGAAAGAATAATAAATGAATACAATATATTTGCATTTAATAAAAG